CGTCGACCCCCACACCACACACTCCATCAGCGCCCCGATGGCGGACTTCTTGTCGGGTTTCAGTCAGTTTCACTTTTGATCGTGATTAATTCGATATAAATGCAGTTCTTTACCGGAAATCGCCAGTTCGTTTTCTTTGAGTTTAAAAATGACCTACAGTAGGGTCGGCATGGTTAGTCAGTCGCCGGTACGTTCGCCTCCCACTCATAGGCAGTTGTACCGGTTGCCGCTGATTAACTAAGCAGACCCTTATTTTGGGTAATTTTTTATTATCCAAGAAACGTCCCTAGCAACAAAGGGACAAAGCGAACCACACAAATGCTTAGAAATATGATCGTGGTGCAAGTTGGTTTGGTGCGAGTTGGCATTGGTGCGAGTTAGCATTGGTGCGAGTTGGTCTGGTGCGAGTTGGTTTTGGTGCGAGTTGGATCGAATAATCACAACTGTCCATAGCCGATTTGTTCAAAGGTGTCGGAACACAGGGATGTTACAATAGCAAATGCAAGTCGCACTGAAAGTCATAAGGACGCATGTAATGGTTGTATGCGATAAACAAGACGTAACTGGTGTGTTGACGATCTTATTTTAGGTCTTCTTAAAAGTATCCGAACTGTACCTGGATAGTAAATTCATCGTGAAGCTCACGACCAGACAGTACCAATCGGAGATTCGGCCACACTGCAGCGCCATCATGATCATCGCTGCGGTTTGGATCTGGAGCCGACGTCGTATCTTCTTTAACCTGTTTATTGATTTCTGTTTTCAATTTCCTTATCGTCCATGTGTCGCTGACATCAACATTCAAACAGTCGCCTGTACTGATTTGAATCTGTAGCGAAAATGTTGACATCTTTCGGTATTTCCGGCTTTGTAGAGTTCAAAGATCAAACACTGGGAATGATATTACCATAGGTGGCGCCTTTCCACGTCCATTACTGCTCGACGACTTTAATATGGGGATTTTATGTAAACTAAACTCATAATGGTTAACTATGCTTCATAATTATAGGTAATTTACGTTCAGAACTTGTGATATAGGGAAATATTGGATTTAACGAAGAATTGTAGGTTGTATGATTATATTGTTGGACTTTCCATTAATTTTGCAGGGAAGTTTGTTTTGATGATTGTTCTACTGTTTTCGACTGCAAGCTGTAGAAACCATATTTTATTTTCACTGTGTGCTACGACAAACGAATTGCAGATATTCTCTACAAAGGGTCTGTAAGGGAATGAATTATTCTTTAAAAAATGTTGTTTGTGTTAATATAAACTTTAAACTTGTCCATTGTGGTTTTTATCTTTGCCAACATATTCAATATGTTAAGTGTGTCTGGAATAGCATAAATATAATCACGTGTGAGTGCGTTGTTTTACTTTGAAGACGAGTTTTTCTTTGAAGATATGACGACAGTGTCAGTCAATCAAAACATTCAAAAATTCTCTTTATTTGTACATGTTTTGTGACACATGTAATAAAGTTTATTTTCATGATAACAATGAACAAATACATGTACGTAGAAAATAAACTTTAGTTCAACCAAAAAAACTTTGCTCATTCGCCTTCAACTGAAATTGAGGAAAACAATATGTAGTAAGTTTATTTGGGGGGGGGGGGGGGCTACAGCTTATATACAGACAAGCGCACACACACACAGTACAGTAAATATTTAGTTATGTGCATTATTAATGACTTTATTTTACATTTGAATCATAAGCAACATACACTAATAATAGTAATACACATAAAATGCTTGTATAAAAACATGGAACTATGTAGAAACAATATTTATATTATTTACATATTAAACAACTGCTTCAATAATATGAGGTTATTATGAGGATACTGAAAAGTATGTACGAAGATAGTACAGCGGGAGTATCGACTGACACGTGTACTGTCTGAGTGCATACTTCGCAGTATCCTCACAATAACATTATTATTATACATCTTTTTCTCCCAATGATACATCATGGGAATGCCAAAATCCAAAAACAGAAAAAAACAAAACAAAAAAAAACAGAATTAGCGAACTTCTTTGTGTGGAGTCCGGTCAAACCCTGGTGACAGCCATGTTTGTTTTTATTATTAGAGGACACTTATGCACGTAATTATTCCATGTTTGGAATTCGCATTTCCTAATATGGTAGGATGAAAATACCCCGTAAAATACAAATAAGTATTTTTAATGTGTAAACAAATAACACATCAAGTCATACAATAGTGTTGTGTGACTGAAATGACTATACAAATACTGGTAGTGTACATGGACTACTGTCAAAGACTTTATTTTCGCTTGAAATTAATTTTCGATATTTTCGCTGAAGAAATGATTGAGTGAAAATTAAATCCAGCGAATATACCTTTATCCTATATTTTACGTTCCACACGTCAAAAATCAGTGAAAATAAATTCCATACAAAATGCCCGAAAAGTCTTTTCAGCAAAAATAAATTCCAGTTAAAATAAAGTATTTTACAGAACTACGCCATAGATGTTTACAGTGTGTTTTGTTTTACATATAGACCAACAAATTGAGTGTATGTACACACTCTGTCACACTGTCATACTCTCGGCGTCCTGAATACGAACATGCACATCCTTGGAAAACATCAACACAAAAGTCATAAGAATCAAACAAGCTTTGAAAACAAAATTGAAAGGAGCTGTCTTGTTGGGATCTTCATATATTAAAGTTTAATAGATGTATGCACAACAGTGAAAATAATTTTTAAGTATGGTGTTTATATAAAAGTTACTTATAGATACATATTAACAACTTATTCTGAAACAACCATAGCACGTAGAAGAATGTTGTATCTTTCAGCGATGTCCCCTTTCATGTTCAGTATAATGCTGGACTCCACGATCGAATTTGGCTGAAATAAACAAAACCAAAAAAAGTTAGTACCAGTATATATATTATAGATTTCATTGGCTGAGTTAACTAGAAAGGATGATTTGTTAAGTAGTAATGTTGGTAAGAAAGTTTTGTTGATACATAAGTTGAATTATGTACCTCGTTTCTTTTTTCAATTCATTTTGTACAGTATAAGTACATGTTTTCATTGACCTCTGACACAAACAGATCAATATTGTGAAAGGGTTAATTATTCACTTGGAAAATGCGCTGAATGTAAAATTGAGCATAGAACACATTATCTAAATGATAAAACTGTGAATTTAAAACCCACTGAATATGCCTGAAATGGTAAATCAGCAAAATTTGAACCCAGTGAAAATTTAGTCATTTTACAGTACTCAGTGTTTACTTTGCATACGCTCATTAAACATTTGTGTTACAACCAGAGACAGAATAGCATGATTATTTCATGCACATGCTGACTGACTTATCAAGGACGATTGTTAGAAGTGCAGCCTTGTTTGTTGTGATTGTGTCATCTACGGTTGATGTCTTGAACGGGACTTCCTGTAGTTGATGTGGAATTCAAAAAGAACACAAAGATAATATGGATAACTGACAGGTGTGTATTGTATGCATTAGCATACTTGGAACATAGATGCAACGCATACATGTTAGTTTGTCCTCAGTTGTATCAACCTATCACAGTTGTCAAAGTGTGCACATTCGAATTTCATGTAAATAACATTTTTATAGGATTTCATTTATTTTTCAATTCATAATATTGTATCACATAGCACCCATTTTGAAAGCAATCGCTCAGCGACAACTGTGGTGGTTCAGGTAACATGTAGCTGTCTAAGTCAAACTAACTAATAGCTTATTTCCCTATACAACTTATGTTAAAAGATACATGATTGGTTGTTTTTATAATTTGAGGTATCAATGTCCAATAAGTTTGCCTTATATATGCTGAGACAATTTTCTAAATTTTTGCCTCGAAATAGGTGTCTCTCATCTCCAAATTGAAGCCCTGGTAACGCCATGGAAGATGCATAAAATTAAGATACAAGTAAAAACACAGTATAACTGTACAGTTTTTCTTACATCATGTCCAGCAGGAGGTATCCACGTGATTGTAACACTCTTTGTTGCACCCGCTTCCACCATTCCTTTCTGAGTATCTATCTGGAATCCTTGTACTGCTATGGCATTGACATTGTCAAATGCAAACTCACCATTCTAGTAATAAAATAAATAAATAAATAATGTGAGATTATTAGGAATGAATGTATATATGAAAGTAACTGATGGTATTCTTGTAATATTTGTTATTTTGGATAAGTTTCGTGTTGGACAATAAAAAAAAACATGTTTTGCCGGGATTGTGATTGCTTTAGGTTATGTCTGCCATTCTGTGTATTTTGTATCCAATAAAATGAAAATTACATTTTTTGTTTGTCGCAATGACTCCATATATGTTTTCCTTTGATATAACGCAAGAAACAGAACAAAAATTATTCCAAAACAAATTGAGTTTGTATTCAAGATAGAGAGAATTACTGCTAGGAATTTCCATGGTTCAAGAATTTTATGGAATATAAAATTTTATGATTTTTATTGACATATTTTATATTTATCTAGCAAAACTGAAGAGTGATGTGCCTCTGCTAAAGCTAATCTGTGTTTATTATCTTCAGAAATTGGGCTAAGTCATGGCAAAGTCATACTATTTACAAGACAAGAATTATATATACCAACCTTTTTCTGACTGACAGCTGTTGTTCTTATTGCACCAACTTCTATGGTCCGATTTGCTGGTTGATTTCCTTCTTCCTTGCCAACACTACGAAATGAGAGCAGTATTGGAATAGCTGGCGGCTTCACTTCACCTGTGTTAAGAAACAATTTACATTATACTTTCAGATCAATTGCATTTCATAACCTCTAATGATTCAATGCAGAAAATGACATACAGTGAAACCTGCCTGAACATGCAGTAAAACTGTCTAAACTGAACACTAGTACAGTAAAACCTGTCTAAACTGAACACTAGTACAGTTGAACCTGTCTAAACTGAACACTAGTACAGTAAAACCTGTCTAAACTGAACACTAGTACAGTAAAACCTGTCTAAACTGAACCCTGGTACAGTCAAACCTGTCTAAACTGAACACTAGTACAGTAAAACCTGTCTAAACTGAACCCTGGTACAGTCAAACCTGTCTAAACTGAACACTAGTACAGTAAAACCTGTCTAAACTGAACACTAGTACAGTAAAACCTGTCTAAACTGAACACTAGTACAGTAAAACCTGTCTAAACTGAACACTAGTACAGTAAAACCTGTCTATACTGAACACTAGTACAGTCAAACCTGCCTAAACTAAACACTTGTACAGTAAAACCTGTCTAAACTGAACCCTGGTACAGTCAAACCTGTCTAAACTGAACACTAGTACAGTCAAACCTGTCTAAACTGAACACTAGTACAGTCAAACCTGTCTAAACTGAACTCTAGTACAGTCAAACCTGTCTAAACTGAACCCTGGTACAGTCAAACCTGTCTAAACTGAACACTAGTACAGTCAAACCTGTCTAAACTGAACACTAGTACAGTAAAACCTGTCTAAACTGAACACTAGCACAGTAAAACCTGTCTAAACTGAACCCTAGTACAGTCAAACATGTCTAAACTAAACACTAGTACAGTAAAACCTGTCTAAACTGAACCCTGGTACAGTCAAACCTGTCTAAACTGAACACTAGTACAGTAAAACCTGTCTAAACTGAACCCTGGTACAGTCAAACCTGTCTAAACTGAACACTAGTACAGTAAAACCTGTCTAAACTGAACCCTGGTACAGTCAAACCTGTCTAAACTGAACACTAGTACAGTAAAACCTGTCTAAACTGAACACTGGTACAGTAAAACCTGTCTAAACTGAACACTAGTACAGTAAAACCTGTCTAAACTGAACACTAGTACAGTAAAACCTGTCTATACTGAACACTTGTACAGTAAAACCTGTCTAAACTGAACCCTGGTACAGTCAAACCTGTCTAAACTGAACACTAGTACAGTCAAACCTGTCTAAACTGAACACTAGTACAGTCAAACCTGTCTAAACTGAACCCTGGTACAGTCAAACCTGTCTAAACTGAACACTAGTACAGTCAAACCTGTCTAAACTGAACACTAGTACAGTAAAACCTGTCTAAACTGAACACTAGCACAGTAAAACCTGTCTAAACTGAACCCTAGTACAGTCAAACATGTCTAAACTAAACACTAGTACAGTAAAACCTGTCTAAACTGAACCCTGGTACAGTCAAACCTGTCTAAACTGAACACTAGTACAGTAAAACCTGTTTAAACTAAACACTAGTACAGTAAAACCTGTCTAAACTGAACACTAGTACAGTCAAACCTGTCTAAACTGAACACTAATACAGTCAAACCTGTCTAAACTGAACACTAGTACAGTAAAACCTGTCTAAACTGAACCCTAGTACAGTCAAACCTGTCTAAACACTAGTACAGTCAAACCTGTCTAAACTGAACCCTGGTACAGTCAAACCTGTCTAAACTGAACACTAGTACAGTAAAACCTGTCTAAACTGAACACCAGTACAGTAAAACCTGTCTAAACTGAACACTAGTACAGTCAAACCTGTCTAAACTGAACACTAGTACAGTCAAACCTGTCTAAACTGAACACTAGTACAGTCAAACCTGTCTAAACTGAATACTAGTACAGTAAAACCTTCTAAACTGAACACTAGTACAGTAAAACCTGTCTAAACTGAACACCAGTACAGTAAAACCTGTCTAAACTGAACACTAGTACAGTCAAACCTGTCTAAACTGAACACTAGTACAGTAAAACCTGCCTAAACTGAACACTGATACAGTAAAACCTGTCTAAACTGAACTCTAGTACAGTCAAACCTGTCTAAACTGAACTCTAGTACAGTCAAACCTGTCTAAACTGAACCCATGTACAGTCAAACCTGTCTAAACTGAACACTAGTACAGTAAAACCTGTCTAAACTTAAAACATATATTTTGCCATATTATCTCCATAGATTCCAGCGTTTACAATTTTCTTAATCCCTTCGGTGTTCAGTTCAGACAGCTATATGTTTCACTGTAATGGTTTAACTATGACATGAGAAATACTGAAAGGTTATGAAATATAATTATCATGATGTCTTGCACAGAACATTGAGGTTGTCTGGAATTCTAGCTATACCTATGTATAGTATCATCTGCTGTGAAACACGATATTTCACTGATTTTATTTCAATTTGTAGTAGCAGTGCTAAGAAATATCCATCTGTTTTAGTTCCTAATATTGAATCTAGCAATGCATTTTTCAAATGCGTTACATGTAAAAGAATTTTAACATTTCTATCAAAGTTGTCTTGAACACAGCAATAAACATTACAGGATTACGATATAATGAAACAGGCTTGGTATACGAGATTCAACTATGCAACAAAGCTACCAACAGTGTTCCGATGGTCAAAAAACACATTCTGAACAACTGTGGTACAAATTTAGTTAAATCCTGATGGTTTCTTGACGGATACACATGCATATTACTTTATGCTTTGTGCTTGTGATTTATGCATCATAAACATTAATAAGACCAAGATTTACCTACTATAACTTTCATAGAAGAAATGTCAATTTGTAATAAAGCTATTCTATTCTATTCTATTCTATTCTATTCTATTCTATTCTATTCTATTATTTAAGATAAATAGAGGGTTTTGACTTCAAAATAATTTGACTTAAAAAAATTGAACTTAGGCAAGCTTTTATATGGATGAATAAACTAACCAAGTTTGATATTGTTTGGATTGAAACTACTGAAGTTATTGCACACAAATGCTGAATTATTAACAACAATACTGGCAGACAATAGCTCTGGCATTATTTCTATTAAAATAAACTGAAATACAACAATGCACTATTAGATTACCTTCCTCTTCCTCTGGTAATGGGGTGGCTGCTAATGATTCCACACATGTTGTTATTTCATCGCTTCCTAATATGTACATTGTGTGTGCCCTTGATTTGCCTTTCAGTCGTATGACATGCGTCTCATTTTGTCCAAACAATGACAACCTAGCACCATCTGAATAGTAATCACTGGAGTGATCTGGACAAAATGTCACAGTGATTTCCTTGCTACCACCTAAATTTAAATGAAGTAAAGGTTTGTAATTAATACGTACAGCAAAGCATATAAAACATGACCACATGATTAGTTAAAAACTCTATGCAAAATCTGATGGAAAATAATGACGAAGTATGTATTATATGTAAACAAATCAGTTCCCAATCTTCTTAACCGATATTATTTGAAAGTGAAATTATTAATAGAACGCATTTAGTATTTAGCCGGAAATGTGTATATTCGGTCTCGATCCCCACGCTGTCTATTGTGGTTGTTTGAAGAGTGTAAATGCTTTGTATCATACTAAACTGGTCACCAAATTTAACAACTGCTTTCTCGTTTTACAATACAATCTGAATGAGCTACGGACAAGCCGAAATAGGTCTCGATTGCATACAGCGCCAGCAGTGGCCTTTCCTGCGTCCATGGGCCCAGTAAAATACTGAAAGATTCTAATGAGGGAATAATAAGAGCACTAAGGGGCTCACAATCAATTCCTAGTACAGTCAAACCTG